CTGCTGAAGCAAAGAATGGTGCTTTAGGAGTTCAGACAAACATCAAAGGAAAGATTTAAGAGGTGTTCCACCCACAGCCAGTGAATTTTTGAAGGATATCATACAAGAAACAAGAATACATTCACAGATATCGCACCTCTGAAGAAAAGGTACTGCAAAAAATATGCCAAGCAAATTTGCTGTACAGATATGCATGGTACAAAAGCTCTCCATCAATCCTGTTTTTACACCTAGCATACACGACAACAAAAAGGTGAAGAGAAACCAAACAAAATCCATGTCCTGTAAAAGTTTCACCTGTGTATGAGCAGTTTCCTTCTCTAACGCTTGAAGAATCTAGGCTTTGCCATTTTGATGCATTAGTTTTTCCCCATTTGTAATACACTGCAGTAGAGGATACATGTATTGCAGCATTACCTTTGAAGAATAAATGTAAATAGAAAATGAAAAAATGCTGTTGTGTGATTGGATTAATTTGACTCCTATGTTTCTATTTTCCATTTATAACAAAAATGTGATTCAATATTAATTTACTGTTTAGATACTGATAATTTTAATACGTGCATTGCCCAAAGCTGCACTTTCCCCACAGAAATGCTTATGGGCAGTTGTCCTTTTGTAAGAGGTAACACTGAACTATATCTAAAAATTGTTTACTGATAACTTAAAGTCACACCTTTGACCTTCGTTTGACTTTTTTCTTGACATGATGGTATGTGACCACAGAATGGTGGAAGCAGTTGATTTTACCAAAGCATTGGATTTTACCACGTCCACCATAGTACGTATAACCTCTAACTATATATTCTGAGGATAAAATTGGCTGAATGGACAGCATGATGGGCTGATAGTCAACTGCAATAGATGAGTGGAGTCCACATTTTAATTGGAGACCATTTTTGAGAATTTAGGTGGAATTTGAGAGGTACATGTGTCTCTAGTACATGCAGCTAGTTACGACTCGCCTAATTAACCATTAGCCTCAAGGGAAAACAGAAGTGAGCCAATGGTATCGCAGGATTTGTGAAGCTTTGATTGAGATTAAGAAGTATGGAAAGGTTAGCTGCCCACTAAGCAAAGACAAACATAAGCTAGAATTCCTTTTCTGATGGAAATTCTTTTATTTCGTGTTGAAAAGTCAAAATTTTTGACATTTCCAACGATTGAAGTCTGGTTTTTAAAACATTGCTTATACTACCAGAAAATTATTGCAATTGAACCCAGGAGCACAACCCTCTAGGTTGTTGGCTAGAAAGCAGCCCTAGCAGATAGACTGATGGAGCCCTAGACCTTGAAGAGCAAGTCTTAGGAGTTTTGGTCACCTATTAAGTGTCAGGCACATTGACAGAAAAGAAGAATACTCCCAGTGCAAACTTTCTTGTGTTTTTTTGGAAGTTTGTCAAATGAGATGTTTTCCCATGAAAGAGCTCAGTTTTGATTAATCAGCATTTTCCAGCAAAAGCCTGCTTTTTCTTCAGCAGACTCTTGAGTGCCCCTGCCACGGAGGGATGAGGTGGCTGTGAGCCGCGCTCAGCCGGCAGCACCGTGACAGCCTGCTGCTGTGCCAGGAAGGAGAGCCAGCTGCTGATGCAGGCGCAGGCCTCGTGTTCCCAGGCCATTGTGAGAAGCCTCCTCCACATAACAGATAGTCTTTAAAAGCAGCACTCAAGGGTTTAGCAAGGCGGTTAAAACCTTTCCCAGACACTTTCCAAATGCGTTTTGAATTTTCTGGGTGAGAAATGCAGTAGGCAGAGAGTGAGCAGAGTTTTCCTCCCAGATGATTCAAGGAACAGGGCCTTCTGTGAAATATCCAGTGCCAGTGGTTGATGGAGAAATGTGAAAACAGGGGTCTAAAGGGGAGAAGGAGTACTAGGGAAGAGACAGAAAGGAATCTGAAAACCCCACAGCTCGTTTATATTCCCTGCATGCCCCTGTTTGCTGTGCCTTGCAGAATTGCACCAGAACGGGACTCCTTGCCAGGCACAAGACCTGACATCGCCCTCAGGTCTGCCTACTTTTTTTTCTGCAAAACTAACAAACAAACACAACAGAGGTGAATTCTGGGGAGAATATTACCAATTTCTGAAAACCTCTTCCCTGTCAGTGATAATTGTTTATCACAACATTTTTTTCTTGAAGCAGTTGGAGGTATCAACTACATGTTCAACTGTTACAAGCCCTCAAAAGTCATCACAGCACAGTCTGTCGAAGTTACTATTCTTCCATTTTTTGGGAACGGCTTTGCTGTATATTGACAAGTACTGCTGTAAAGTGACACCAACATCTACATTTGATTCCTCTTAGCACTGGGAATATAGTGCTGAAGATGTGTACTATGTCTTCTACTGCCTCTTCTCAGTCATGGAGCCGGTCTTGTCCGGACCACATTTGCTGATTTGTGATGGGCAGACAGTGCCAGGTACCCCATTATTCTCAGGTTGTCCACAGCCTCCAAGTCTGGCGAGGAGCTACTGTTCACCTACCTGTCGGTGTTTGCTGGGTTGACCCTGAACAGCTCAGAGGCTGCCCCTGAACAGCTCAGCTGCTGCCCCAGTGTGCAGTAAGGAACAGTTTCTGATTTCAAGGTCACGCCTGCCAGTTGATCAGCAAATAGTAAAGCACTTAAACTTCTGAATCTGTGCCCTGAGACTGACTGGGAGGTCATTTTACATGTTACAAAAATAGATAACGTGAAAAAGTGCTCTCCCCTTTGTGTAGGTCAGTTCTAAAATGACCAGCAAACTGCCACATGAAGATTAAATCTGTAGAGAGGGTAAGGATTGAGGGATCAAATGATTACTGTACTAAAAAGGTCATTTGTCATTTATGTAGGGTCAAGTAGCTTGGGAAAATCTAGGTTGCTCAGTTGCTCACTTACATTTGTCCAACGCATACTATGCAGAGCTTACTACACAGAGACCCCTTGTCGCTTCATGATGGGTCTGCTCTTCCACTCGTGCAGGACACTGGAAGATGTCAGGTTCATAAAATTTCAAATCGATACCCCCAATTTAACTAGCAAAAAAATCCCAAATACTTAACCATAACAAACGCTGAACCCAGTCAGGCACTCAGAAAGGGATGACTTGTGTAGTTTGAGTTCTGTTAGCGCTTAATGTCTCTGCATCAATGGGCGTTGTTTTGTTCATGCTACATCTCGGAAATCCCATTCGCTGTCTATTTACCACCTGTTAAATTGCAACAGGGAAGGAATTGCACAGTGGTGCTGATAAAGTGTTCCATAGATTATGGAAGGAGGAAATATCTAGTGCACTTTCCTCTTTACAGAAAGATTCAACGTGAAATCTATCATCTATTTATCTGTAAGCATCAGTTCAAATAGATGCTTAAAGCAACGTTGAGAGGAAAGGAATTATATTAGCATTCAGCTTTGTGGCCTGAATCCAAAAGGCCTGTATAGCCTTCAATTACATGAACAATCAGCATTTCATATCACACGTTTTAATTACTCTGACTGAAAACATATATACTGTATTTGTATATTTAAAATTGAACTTCAGAATAGAGAATGCATCTTATTTAGTTTCTAAGGTACCGGAATAACTTGAAGTTAGACAAGAAATAAACAAACCCAACAAACCAAAACAACAGATGCTGGTACTTGAGGACCTGTTGAAATAGGGTTCTCAAATAGGAAATCATTCAGAAATTATTTGCACTATCTTCTACCGGTAACTGAACTGCTTTTTGTGTGATTCTCAATTCTCAATGAAACAAATGGAATACAGACCTTCTGCAAATCATTATTAAAAAAAAAAGATATTTTACAGGTTAAATAAAGAATGGGAGATTCAGCTTGGTTAATGCTGTTTACACAGTTGTAGTATCTGAAATAAAGCAGAGTACAGCATATTTTAAGAGCTCCCAGAACTCAGTGCAACTTTAAATTAACATTTGTTTCCTAAAAACCTGGTGTCAATATATGCATATCCATTACAGATG